GAATTTTCTAAAATTTTAGGAGAAATACAAATTATTATAAACAGTACTGACACATATTTGATAACAGAAAATGCTGTAACAGAAATTAATCAACCTTTTAATAATAAAATTATAACACAATATAACAATACATTAATGATTTATATGACAGATATTTTTTTACCTTAAAAGAATCAGATCAAGTTTTTAATCATGACTTAGACAGTCTTTTGCGAATAATTACAAATATACATGGTACCAATAGACAAAGAATAAGTGCATATAAGAAGCTTGGTGATTATTTGCAAAATGTTTTATTAAGAAGTATCATGACAGCATTAAAAAGAAAATTACATAAACAATCTCACCAAAATGGAACACAAATTTACCAAATAGTAACATGAGTACAATCATTATTCTGGAAAATAGGAACACCATATATCAGAAGTTTTCAAAATGTTATATCAGATTGAATTCATAAACTACCTAAATCAGAGTTCTAAAAGTTTCTAGAAGATCTTTTAGAAATGGATGTTATGTCCCAGAAGCCCCCCTTTGAAGGAGAAAATGTTTGTGGCAATACAAATTAGTTATCAGGTAAAATGTCACGGAGGATGATAATTTGTGACACTAGATGATAATTCAGATAATTGTTATCCCAGGTGAGATGACCATATGAAAATGAAGGATGAAGTGTAACTAAAAGAGAAAGTATAAATACAACTGTTGTCAAGTGTAAGTTTAAAAAGTCAAGAAATTGTATCAGATAGTTAATTAATTATTACTTAGTATAATAGAATAATTCAAAATATTTTAATTATTATTAGATAAAAAAGTAAATTTACTTCAAGGACAGTAAAATAGACATCCTAATACATGATAATGTTTCTGTTGCTGAATTATACTTTACTTTTAAAAAATTTATACTTTATATTATAATAAACTTATATCTTGTGTCTTAATATTTTGAAATATTATTAAATATTATTTGATACTGTATTAATTGCTTTTACTTCACCTTACTCACTATACCTTTATGATTAATTGATTATTATTTGATTATTATTATTATTTATTATGTATTTATTATCTGTTTTGAGATAAGCCAGTTAAATCAATTGTATTAGCTGTGACCTACTGGCAGATAGAACATATTATTATGTTTGTGTGATGCAAACTTTGAGACTGATTTGAGAAAATATTTGAAATACTCTGCACAAGTGTGACACTACTACTGAAAAATAGCTTATGAAAAAGATTAAACCTTTCTAGTTGGGCAACACTATATAATTATATATATAATGAAAGTATAATTTGAGTACCTGTAGATAACTATAACTCAATTAATGAAAATAAATATAAAAATCCATCAATTGCTTTAGCTCTCATATGAGATAAAATACTTGTTTTCACCTGGAATATAGAAATATATAGTAGTCATAAAATGGGAGGTCTACCTGATACAAAAAATAAGGTGAATCAAGTATTTATGATCTATATAACAGTATATTAGAAAGATAATTTTTATAAACTGACAAAAATATATTTAGTTAATGTGGAGACAAAATCAGATTCCAACTGGATTACATTAATATGTGAAAATCAGACTAATATACTGAAGACATTTGCATTATGTTAGAAATATTTAACTTCTAATATAAAGATAGATTTTAATGATTTACAATATGACTAACTTTTATTATATAAAAAGTTAAAAGTTTAGATATTTTTGAATGGATATATAATCATATGTCATCTGAACTATCAAACATTGAAGAAATTATAAAATGGAGATATTGGAGAAGTGAGATAAAGATAGTTGACAAAAAATTTTACTTAAAGTATCTCAAAATTCCAGGGTGTATACTTATTGATATTTTTGCTTACTTTAAAAAATTATATCAAAAATTAGAAGCAAGTTCATTTAAGTATTATTTGAAAAAATGTGGGTTAGTTAACAAGATGAATATGCTAATAACTACAATGAACAGAATATTTGAAAATACAATATTTCACCCCTCTAATATATTAGCTAAAATATGTGTAAAGTTGCAAATTATTATGTTATAGATACATTACTATGTCAAGAGCTTATAGCTAAGTATAATATAATTAATGATTATAAGGAAGTATCATTTATTGCATATTTGTTTCTTTATGATTCTCATTATTTTACGAGAGATAAGAAAATATGTAATCTTTTGGGGCTAAAGCTTGGAGCAGTAATATATAGTGTAGTATAATAGAAAATATAGAATCTGGTAAGTATCTAGGAACTTATATTATTATACCTATAATGGATTCTAGAAAACAAATGCACAATAACAGGTTTAGATTTTGTTTTCCTATATTCAAGTCTTATAATAACATACAACCTTTCATCTAATAAAATTGTACTATCCTACAAAGAGGCAATAAATGTAATTTGTAATGAAAAGAAACTTCACAAAATTGAGTTTTTGTTCAATAATCAAACTATAGAAGCTTGGTCTATTTATCACAATAATATGCTTGAAAAAAAGTGTTTATATACTAGGGTATTAAAAAATCTATTTAATAAATAAAAAGAGATGAAAAAATATCTTAATGAATTAAATGAAAAAAATTTTGAATATAGTTGCTTAGATTCAAAACAAAAGGTAATAAAATTATATATGAATATATTTTATGATGAGACAGGTAATAATTTCTCTCCATTCTATCAACTTCAGCAAGTGGAGTTACTTCTGCTAGATAACATAATATCAAATTTGTTAGAAAATTTGTTGAAAATAAAGGGTTCAACATTAAATATCGAGATACTGATTTTTTATATCTTTATGTTCAGAAAAGTATTTTCAGAAGTGTGATCGAAAATATAAATTAGATCAATTCTTACAAGAAAAGTACTAGGAGGAAATGGTAAAAATATCTATAGAAGTAATAAAAAATCTCCATAAAAAAATAAATACTGAACTTGAAAAGGATAATAGAACACCTTACCTTAATATGATATATGAAGTGATCTTATTTTCTGTGATATTTACAGAAAAGAAAAAATACTATGGTCTGGAGCATAAAAAAAAGCCAAACTTTAATTTGGATAAATTTTTTATTAAAAGAGTAGATGTTATAAAAAGAGAACAATCTAGACTTTTCTATAATGTAGGTAGAAAGATTATAAATAAGACTATAGAGGTCAGTAATAAGGAAACAATATATCAGATTGTTGAAAAAGTTCTTTGAAAAAATGTGAAAAAACTTTTCAAGTTAAATTATGATAAATTTATTCAGATGTTTATATGGAGATCTAAAAAAGAAGGTAAGCAGAAAAATATTTCTGTAGAATGGTTTATTTTACAAATAGAGGCTAAGTATTCTTGCGAAATATTGAAAATTTAATACATTATAAAGAAAGGTTTACCTGTTAACGAGTATCTATACAAAGTTTCCAAAGCTGATGAATAGTTTAGTTATATTGTAGTAGTACCTAAAGAGATTTATAATAATTGCAAAAAGAAAATACTACAACAAAAAAGAGACTGTATGAAATATTCAGATGTGATAAAAATGGTTTACAAGAAAATTGATATTGATTATTTATCAAAAGTCTATTTGGTCTTTGTACCCATGTTTTATAAATTATAATGATAAATACTAACCATTATCTAAATCACTCTCAAAAGTTTTGGATCATAAAAAGAAATCAAAGGAAAGAAATAAAAATTGTTAAAGATTTAAATGAAGGTGAAATAGTAAATATCAAAGATGAAGTGTTGCAAAAATCAATTAAAAAATAACTCATAAATTACATCAAAAATTTATATGATGTACTGAAAAATGATAAATTCATTATCCTCATTTATAGAAAAATGTTACTATTTATGTTGAAAAAATATATTCTGATATTAATGAAGCTGACATAACTAATAATGATTACCTTAATATATTAAACAAAATTACAGATTCTATACATTCAAAATTATCAGATTTGTTTTCAAAATTGTCTAAGCTTAATATGGATTTTAAAAATGGAATGTATACATATTAACTGTATATATCAAGAATTTTTCTTGGGATTTTTTTTGACAATAAGCTGTTGCTAAACTTTGTCATGTGAATTTTAGTTTTCATGTAAGCAGTCCATCTATTCAAAATAAAATTTTCATATAATCTGTATTTACAAAACTCTTATACACAATGTCTATGCAATCAACAACCACTCTTCTGACTTTTTATCATGTCACCAAGATCGAAGACTGGACATACACTAATATGATGAATTATTATCAAGAGAAAACTGAAGAAAAGAAAATGAAGAAATTGCTAGATTGTATAAACACAGATCTAAAATTATTAACAGATCCTGGTTTTAAATTTGATAAATCATGTAAAGACAAGGCTAAAAAAATTCTTCATAACTAGAAGGTATGTTACTTGTGAGATAGAGTTTGTATAAGCTAAGAGCTTATTTTGAACAGTTTTAAACTGCTTGTTCGCACTTGATACAAGCTAGGGATATTAGTGAAAGTTAGTTCTTAGTAATAAATTACTAGTTTGACACTCGTAAAAGTTAAAACTACTAGTCTGAAAAAATAAGTTCATTGTTAGTGATGAACTGTTAGTTTGATGCTTAATGTAAGCTGAACTGCTAGTCTGCAGTGTTCAACATTTTGCGCAAGCTGACTTCATTGTTATTGTGAAATTTTTTTTGAAATATTATTAATTCTAATTTTATTTTTTCAAGAAATGGAAATTATTATCAAAAAATTTAGATATGTATTTGAAGATTCAATATTTTCAGGTGAGTTTCTATTTTAGAAATTGCTTAAAACAAAAAAAAAAAACTGAGTAGTATTTTTATTATTAGGTAGAATAGCTTATGACTGAAGAATTGACCAATATTATCAATAAACATTGTGAAGAAGCGAGTATAGTGTTATTGACTTTAAGATTAATCACACTATCTGATTATATATTTTTATTTTTTTTATTTATCTAATAATTGTTTTGGATTATAGATAAAAATTACATGAAATATAATGCAGGGAATTGAAGAAAGTGACAGAACTACTATGGCAAATAATAATATGGAGCTGGTATATTTTATTTATATGTAATATTGTTAAAGTTACTTGACAAAGTGATAACTTTAAATTTATTTATGGGAGAAGGAATAACCAGTACCTTCTATTCCAAAATCTCATAAATGATAAATAAAAACTTATCAGAAATTAAGGTATACTATTATTGGAATCAAGGGTCCGATCTGAACAATAATTATAACTAATATTTTTTACAGAATATTAAGATATGCCTTCTTGAATATCAACCTGAAAATGAAGTATGTGAAAATAATGATAATGACTCAGAATTGATTAATGAAGATAAAGGTGAAGAAGAAATTGAGATGCTTACACAGGTATTTATTTATTTGTAATCTTTTAATGTTTTTATATAACTGATAATAATTATATTTAATTTTCTAGGATGAAGTGAACATCCATAACAAATTACTCAAAATTCTTACTGCACGTCAAAAAAAAAAATAAAGAAGCTAGGAAAGATTTTATAACATAAATATATCTCAACAATATATAGATTTATCAGATGATGAAATGCACAAGTGGATTAAAAAATCCTTGAATAAAGAACAAAATAGTTAGCTTGAAGAAGTTCTTGAAAAAAAACTTGGAAACCAACCTCCTGAATGTATATGTAATTTATTAATCAGTTTATTGAAGAAGTGTGTATCCAAAATGAGATTTCAACTATTGTTCGCAAATCTTGTATTACTGGAAGATTTAATCCTTTTTATCATGAAGCACATAAAATTGCATAGCAAATATTAATGCATTGATACTATAGGTGTTCATTTTTTTGTTGACATTAATAATTTTCATTATTATTGCTTATTTTTTATGAGTAGTTCTGTTCAACTTGAAGTTCTAATGAGAGTCGAAAATAAAGGTCTCAATCTTGAAAGGATTTATGTAGTTGACACCATAATATATTTTTTTCAATTGACTATTCAGAATGCATCAAGATGAATTAGATATTTTTTAATAATTATCAATTTTAAATTTTTTTTTTGGTTTCAATGAGGTTTGCCTCAAATTTATTAATTAGAAAAAGAGAAAGTCTCTTATATTACATAATAATACAGATATATAACTTATTCTAATAATTATAGAAAGATAAGACTCAGACTAATTCAAAGAGACGTGCCTGCAACTTATCACCAAATAACAACAGTTGTTACCAGTATGTTAAGGCCCTGCTGCAAAACCTATTTTATAAATCCAAGGCCAGTCAAACTAGTTTTTAATTTCTATATTAATATAATCGTTTAGTAACATTAAATATTATTTTTTAATTGTCTAAGTATATTAGTTAATATATTATTACTATAGTTATTATTATTATTATTGTCACTATTGTCCTCGTTTATAGTATTAGTCTGATTACTTAAGTCAGGATTTTTTACATTAATAGATTTATACTTATTTTTAAACTGTTTGATTTGATCTCTACACTTTATTTCCATTCTATGACTATTTTACAATGGGGTTCCATATAGTTTTTTTTGATGAAATTTTTAAATTTATCAAATGCCTTTTCAACAATTATCTTGGTTAGCTAATAGTCATGGATGATATGTTATACTTCATCAATGATAGAAAGAGAAACTAACCCTCGTATAACATCTATTAAAGAAAATGAATTAGGATTCAATGTGGAATTGAACTGGATATTTAGTTTTTTTAAGTTTTCAAACTTTTGTCTAAGATCACTTCCTGTTTTATTTGTACTATTAGTGATTGTTTCTAGAATTAAGAGAGTAAATAATTAGTATTTGCATATGTGGATATCTTTATCATTATTCTTACATATGAATTAATAAAATTGGTCTTCAGTTGTATCATTACAGCTACACATATATCTGTATCATATACATTTGAATATCTTTCTCATATCATATTCAGGATGGGTAATTTCAAATTTAGCAGCTTCACCCTGAAACCTCTCTCACGAGTCAGGTCATTACTAGTATGAAAGCTTCCAATATATGTCATCATTGAGATATTCCATGCAGTTTTCTAACAGGTCAGGTTAGCTTTCCTTTCAGATATATTATTCATGTTTCTATTAAGTAATGCCATTGGACAGAGAACTTCATATTTCCAAGTTTTTTTGTGAACTCTCATATGGGTTTCTCAATCAAAGTTCCTTTTCATGTTGCTATAGCATTAATAAGTGAAAGGCTTTGTATATCAGGTTCACATGTATCAACCATGTGTCTCTCCTTAGCTAACAAGTTCACCTTTTCATTTAATTCCATCCCCGAATGAGTTTCAACTTTATTCAGTTTGACCTTAATGTTTCTAGTAATCATTAACTCATTAATGGCAAATGCTAGCCTCCAATTTTTAAGTTTTTTCTAAGCATGATGAGGACTGTGTAATATAATATTGATAGTATTTATTACTGCTTGACTATTTGTAAAAATAACCAAAGCTTTTCTAGGAATTGTATAGATGGCTGTAAGGATAGCCATTAGTTCTGCCCATGTTGATAATAGGAAGTTTTCAACTTTACCCTTAAAAGTAACTTCTTTATTGTTCCTCGTGATTATGAATTTATCAATTTTAAAAATTTGAAATTTAAATTATTAATTTTGCAGATTTTTTATTTATTTAAGGATTGAATCTCAAACTTCAAATATCAAATATCATAAATTTGATGAACTTTACAAAGCGGTCAAAGCAATTAATAAAAGCCAAGTCATAATCATTATAGAATTTTCATGTGAATGAAAGATACCTTTGTCTAAAAAATATAATAATCAGATAAAACTATGTCAAAATTCAATAAGAACTCTCAATAAACTATTAAAAACCATTCTGAAAGATCTTGTACGAGTGTATTTTGTACAATCTTTTAGTAAGTATTATAATCAGAAGTTAATGGCATAAAGCTGGTTATTTACATATATTATATATTTTCTTTATAGATAGATTTATTGAAATAAAGTATTTAATTTGATCACTGTCAACAATATAAATGCTCCAACAATTTCTGCACATCAAAATACCTGTTACCTTTGCTAATTTCAAACAGTTTATAAAGGACATAATATGTATGTTGAATTGGCAGGTAGAGTATTTTCAATACTTGTCAATAACAATATTAAATAAGTAATAATAATTGGTTTTTTAGACAGATGTTCTGTCAACAGCTAGAACAACAAATAAAGTAATCACGAATGTCATAGAAAATAATAACATTTGTATAACTTCAGTAGATAATATTTCACAAAAGAAAAAAAGTAATAAAAATCAACCTTTGCTTAAATTCCCATCTTCAAATTCCTCACCACTCAGTTCTCTATTTCCTGGTTTCAAATCATCAAGTCACAATTTGATGTGCCATTTAGATTCACCAGTTCATGAAAAAATCAGTTTAAACAATTTAGAAATTACATTATTTAGAAAAAAAATTCAAAAAATTGATATCAACTGATTTTATAATGTATCATTCAAAAATTTTTATAATAAATGATTTGTAAAATTTTTATTGAAATTTTTGACAACTAGCTGTTGCTGAAATTTTTATTACTTTAGTTACGCATTTTAAATTAATAATAAAATCTATTACTAAAACATGCAATTAGAGATTAATTCATTAAAACAATAACCTTCTGAGTTCGAAGCTAAAAAGGTTGAGCTTGAGATCAAGAATGTTGAGCTTTTAAAACAGGTTACAGAAGAGAATACCAAACATGAAGTTAAGAATGTTGAGCTCAAAGTCAAGATTACTAAATTGGAACAGATCGTAGAAAAAAATACTAAGCTTAAAGATATAATTATGAAATTGGAAAAGAAACAGATCCAGATCATTACTAATAAACAGGAAATACCTTTTAAAAAAGATATTTTACCACTTATTGAGAGTTATTCTTATGAGAAAAAGATATTACCCTTGATTCCTTGCCTGAAATAGAATGTAGCTTAACTTAATCTGAATCTTTAATGGAGCCTGAAATATTTACAACTTCTTTATTACAAGATATTATTTATAATGATTTAGCTGAGATCCTTGATTTTGTAGAAGCAATACATAAGGAAAGGATTAGTAGTGAGATAAGAGAGAGGAACTGGAAAAAAAAACTACAAGAATTACATAATGACTCAACTCTACTGATACAACTCAAAATATTAACCACATTGACACCTGAATCTCTGGATTCAAAAACTGTAAAAAGCTTTGAGATCAAAATCAGCAGAGCTGATATGGTCAAAATAAAAGCTTGAAAAAGCATCACAATTACATATACCGATACAAGAATACATGAAAGAAATCATATCAATAAACCACTTGGTAGATTAGAAAATGCTATACAGAACAACTACAACATTATCAAAAACAATAAAAACAGTAACAGATCAGAAACAGACAAAAGAGACACTAATGTACTCAAGAATCACCAACAGTAAAACATCACAAGAAGACCAAAGGTATAGAACATTCAAAGTAAAACTTCTAATAGAAGGTTTACCTACAAGAAAGCTAATGTATGAAAAATATTTACAATTGTATCAAAACTCAAAATGCATAAAATGTAATAACTACGAAGAAATATCAATACATGCTTTAACATGTACAAATGGAATTAAAGAACTCCAAGAAGAATTTTTCACAATAGTAAGAAAAAAAATACAAACAGTATATAACCACTCAAAATTATATGAAATAATTGAAAAAGAGTTCAAAAACCACAGTGATTATCAAATAGACAATAATAGAGTAAACTCAGTAAAAACAAATGAATACTCAACTTTTTCTTTTAAGATATAATAAGAAATATAATACCAAAATCTCTAAAAAAAAATTAAAAAAAAATTAAAAAAATTATGGAAAAAGAAACAAAAGAAATAGAAAAAAATAATAAAAGATATAATTCAAGAATTTACAAAAAAAATATATACAAAATGGATAGAAAGATGTGAAACAGTAAATAAATGGAAAGAAAATAATAATATAATAGCTGAAATAAAATGTAATACAAAAGTGCAGTATGTAAGAAATGAAGAAAACTACATTCAAATTAAAAAAAAAAATAGAAAAATGAAAACCTAAAGTAATAGAAACAGCATTAGACAACTTATTAAATGTAACAAACACTTCTTTTTCATATATTTTATCTTTTTTATTTTTAAGCTTAGACATTAGTGGGATCATGGTGGTGGAAACCTACTAATTTTAAAAGTAAACATTAGTTTATTTTCAATGTTTGGTAGGTTAATCAGTAGACCTAGTCTTGGATAGTTTTATTTAATCATTTGTAATTTTATGTACAATCTAAATGAAATAAAGTGAGACCATGTTGGTCACTCAAATCAAATCAAATCAAAAGTTGTTACATATAAAAATTTATTATTTTATAGTAAAAATTAAAAGTGATACTAAGTAGCCTTGAAGATAATATTATTTTACACATACTATAAAGTTTGCAAACCTATATTATAAGAATTAATGAAAAGATTAACAATTATTCCTTAAAGTTTATTCTATGGTATTTGCTATATTCTCATTATATAGCTTTAAAAACTTTACAGTAGATGCACAATAATTTTCTCTTTAAGATTACTTAATATCATTTTTAAGATTTTATTGTTACAAAAAAGTTTTATATGTAGAAATTATTGATAATTTTCCTGAAATGACAAAATGATCAACAATAATTTTGATCATTTTTTAGTCGTGCTAAGTAAAGTTCGGATCTTAACTAGAAAACAGCAAAGATGATATTAATAAACATTGTAGACTTACGTTAGAGCTACATGTCCTCATAAGATATATTGCACTTCCAGTGGATAGTTATTGAAAACGAGAGACATTACGATTAACAATTTGATTTGCAATTTTTGGGTAACTTTATTGAAAACAAGATTTCTATCCGAGAAAGCATCTAATTTTAACTGAAATGACATAATATGATAGCCATTGATTAGTGGATTTTTTTAAAAAAAAAGTTTATGTAATTTAAATTATTCCTTGTGTCACAATTTGCCCTTGAATTTTATTGATAAATTTGGTAAAAAAACAGTTGCCCGGATACTTTTGGCAGGTTGGTGTAAATTGGTTTGATTTTCGCATTTGAATTTTTTTTTATAACGGCTGAAAAAAAATTCTTTATTTCAAAAATGTAAAAATCGAGTGTCAGTTCATTTCAAATATAATGCGAAATAAATTCAAAAAAAAAAAATTTAAATAATAAAATTAATCATGATACCGCTGCTTCGAAATTTGACTCGTATTGTCAGATTTAAAAAAACACTACTTCCTATAACTATTTCTACTTCTACTTCTGCATATAAAAAAAGAAATACATGATAATTTCAAATTGATACAGCTTTGAAGTAATTTCATGATTTCTCATAATACTAATTTCTCAAATCATATTATTATTATTATTGTTATTATTACTTCCAAAAAATAATTTATATAAATATACATAGTAAAATCAATAATAAATTTGGAACGTGATGATTAATGCTAAAAGTATTTTAGAGGTAGAGTCTTGACAGTACAATAAAATTTTGACAATATTTGATGTGATAAAAAGTTTAAATTTGCATGTCATGTCTTGCTCGTAAAGAGTTAAAGAGAAGCTATAATCGCTGAACGCTACGCATAAATAAAATTAAAAAATTAAAAGAAATTACTTACGCAATATATTTTATAAAAAAATTGACAGTTTTCCTACATGATATATGCAAGATGATATCTATCGGTTCGGTTTTGATTTATTAACAGAATCCAAGCCAAATATTTTGGTTTATATATATTTATTTGGGGTTATCAAATTTTTAAATTTGGTTCGGTGGCTTTGGATAATTATTTTTTCAAACTGAAGTTTCGGTTCGGTAATAAAACCGGACCGTTTAGAGCTTTTCCAAAAAAAAATTATTGAAAAAGTAAATTTCGTGTTTTTTCCTTAGTCATAAAGTCTTTATACACAGTTAAACAAATTATAGTCGAGTTGTCGAAATTATCAAGATGGCGTAATAAAAACTTGGACAGTTATTTTGAAGTGCAAATATATTCTTTTAAGCATCAAATTTTTTATCACACTTTGATCAATCAATATAATATTGATAAACCAAGTCATTTTAATAATGGGTTCTTTATAAATGACGAATATCTTTAATTCAGAACAGAAATATTTTAAAAAAAAATTAATTCTTTAATTTTTTTTTAATAAAATAATAATATATGAATAGAATAAAATAAATAATGTTAAATTTATATAAATGAAATGTAAATTATAATAATCATTTCTTTGAAAAACTTGAAATTTCAATTCCTTCAATTGAAAAAGTGTCTGTTTTGCAATATAAATTTGATGTGAATTATTCATATTTTATATCTAACGTTAAGATTTTTGTAAAATATATTTAATATGTTTAAAAAATATTTATAAATCGGGTATAGATAATTCAGATGCAACTTAATAAATGTACAATCAATAATCATTTTTTGACTATAAAAATAAATTTTATGAGAAAATAATTGGTACTCACCAACACTTAAAGAGAAGTAGATTTCGTTAACTCTTCAAGTTTATTTTCAAAATTTTCATCATTTTTAGGTTTTGGAAGACTTGAATCATTGAAAAGTCGACTAGTATAAATTGCTTCTGGATGTGTTTGTAATTCATCGGTGTTGGAGTTGTCTGATTTGTTTATTTTAGGTATTTGGATAAATTTTCAGAATTTTCAATTTGAATTGAGATTTCATTATTATTTTTACATTTGTTTTCCGAATAATCCTCATTGTAATTAAAAAATTCCTGAAACAATTCTTCGTAAGTAGGGCGATGAGTAACTCGAATATCCCAACATCTCATAATTAACCAGGTAATTAATTTTGGAATATGAATCGGAATTTTTGGTTGCATATTTTTCTAGCTGATTTTCTATCATGTGGAATAACATAGTATGGTGCAAAACCAGTAACTATTCATAAGCTATAAATGCCAAAAGAATAAATATCAGCTGCTTTGGTATATTCTTCTCCACTTAGTACTTCTGGAGCTATATATGGCAATGCACCAAAAATTTGTCTCTTTTCGGGATTCTTTATATCATATCCTATTAACTTACTTTGACAAAAATCTTAAACATATGAAATATGTGAATACTTAAAGTTAGATGATAAAATATTTCCAGGGTAAAATCCCGATGTATTATATTTAATTTATGAATCTTCATGAAATCAAATGCTAATTTACTTAAATTGCCTAATTTTAATTTCCAATTTATATTATTAAAATTATTTTTCAAATAATCTCTAAGATTTCCGCCATACATATATTCTAAAACTATAATAAGTTCGTTTGTTTCTGGATCTTGTGTAAATCCATAAATGTCGATTGAAAAAGTCTTACTCTTCATTTTTAAGTGAATCTCTATCTAAATTTATTTTTAATTTATAATTAATGTAAATATAATATATAAAAACAAATTTACATATCTGATATTAATATAAATATTTTACCTCATTAAGGAAATCTTCATTTAAATTTGCAAAATTATTATCAAACTTTTTTAACGCTACAATAGGTTGACCCCTTCTTTTCCATTGTTGATTATCAAAATCCCATTTTTGAATTCTTCCATCAATCCACGTAGCTTTATATATTGTTTCAAATCTACCCTTTGCTATTTCATTAATCTCTTTAAATCTATCATAAGGTATCCATTCTATTACTTTATCATAATTATCACCTGCATTTGTTTGAGTATCTTGAATAAACTTATCTGTTGTGTTATTTCCACTTGACCGTTAATCAAAATCATTTTGGAAATGCTTCAAGGTATGTACTTGGTTTACGTTCTTTATTGCATTCAGGACATATTTCATCAGATGACATTCTTTGTTCGCTTATAGCGTGTAATGCAAAACTTTTTCCCTTTTAAAAAAAGTAATATTAAATAAATTTTTAGCCGAATTTATGCTTGGATGAATTGCTAGGTATGCAAAAATCTCTGATAATATTTTATTTAATATGTATTTAATCTTTTAATCTAAAAAATGCAATTTAAACAAAAACAAATATAGAATTGAGTACAATTTTCACAATCTTCTCGGACTTCAGAAATACTATTTATTCTATAAATAGTTAAAAGTTATTATGAATCCAATTTAACCAGATAAAATTAATTGTTAATTAAAATACAAAAGAAGTTTAACTCTTAATAATCGATTAATCACTGTAACTGTACACCCGGAATCTCTGTTTCCTACATATTTACGTCTATCAATCTTCATGTATATTTTTGATAGATTTGACTGATAATTTTACTAAGCAAGAATTTAAGGGGCGATTTTGCTAAAATTTTGCTAATTGAAAATGCTTTGTAGAACTGTGTTAAATAATTTATATTACTCTGGCAGTATAATTAAAATCCCAAATTTTATTTTTTAAAAAATTTATTCTAAAAAATATAAATTTTTGATAAAGAGCCCTGACAATTAAAGCTATTAAGGCAATAGAACAAATATTTTGTATTTTTTTTTTGGATAATTTTTTATAAGAATATTTTTTTGGAGTATACATGGATAAATTTGAATAATTTTTATTAAGCAAAAAATCGTGGGGCGATTTGCTAAATTTTGTTAATCGAAAATGTTTACGGTTATTCTGTAGAAATTTGAGTTTTATGAAATTATATTGCAATACTCCGGCAAACAAACTCAATCCAAAGTTTTTATAAAGAAATTTTAATTGATTATGTTAAAAATTAATATATGACAAATAATAATAGTATAAATAATAGAACAAATGATAGATATTTTAAGTGTTCAAAAAGAAAATAAAGAAGCATTAAATAAATAAGAACTACATCTTCGAAATTTGATTCATTATAAGATTTACAATTAATTTGACATCTTTTCATTTATTCAACATTGCCAAGTGCTCAAACTGATATAAATAAATTTAAGATATAAATCTCCAGATTGAATTTGGAACTTTAAGAGTAAGTTCTGATAATTGAAAAAAATTGATTGTTATTTGCGTGCCGTGTTAAATTATTATTATTGCAACCACATCATTATTGTTATTGTTGTCATTGTTGTTGGTTTTGTTATCATCATCATTGTCTTTGTTGTTATTATCATTATTGTGAATAATTCCATTTATATTATTTCCACCACCAGTTATAATACATTATTATTACTCACACTATTCCTTGAAATGAAATATTTCCGTTCCGATTGATGTTAGAAGTATTAAGTAGTAATAGTAGTATAGTAAATAAGCATACAGTATATTATGATCATAGTAATTATTGTATTATTATTATTACTGTTACTATTATGATGAATCTACATGATGGGATAATCTTTTTTAGCATTTTTTTCCTTTTTCTCTTAGTGAAACGATTAGATCAAAATATGGTCATCGGTGGGTCAGCTATATTATTATTATTATTAATTAGTTGTTATCATTAACATTATTATTGCTGTTGTAACATTATTTAGTTGTTAATTTTATTATTATCATCCAAATATTATTATTATATAAATAAATCGACAAACAGTTGAATAAAAATGAAAACGCGAATGCCATAACTAATTATTTTCGGCAAATACAATCAAGTCAAAAAGTATGCCTTGAATCTCGTTTATATATAAAAATTATATTTATACATATTCAAATAAGTCAAATAAGAAAGCAGATTTTTTTTTGATAATTTAGATATTATGGTGATTACAGACATTAATTAATCAATTTAACAATCCTTCCTTAATGCTATACTATAATAATAATTATTGGCATGAGCATTTAGACCAAAAAAGAAATTAATAAACTTCAATACAAATTATAACAATGATAATTGTATAAAAATACTAATTTTTTTAATACGACACTTTCGTCAAGTAATCCACTTAACCCATACAACTTTTAAAAAATAGAGAAATTAACAAAAAATAGAGAAAACAAAGGAAATGAAGAAAAATAATTATATTTTATCATAAATGTCAGTAGAAATAAAACAACAATTATATTTAGTAATTGTAATAATGACAAAAATTATAATAAATATAAATAATTGCGACAATTTTTCATTATGATGATGCAATTAAATATGTTGGTAAACAAATATCATTTTATGAAAAAATATCTTATTATAATTTTTTCCAATTAATTGAACTCATTGTGCTAACAATCAACAATTTTTATCGCTAGTGTTGATATCAACCAATCTCTACTACCGCCTCTAATATCTAGATATTGGTTAAAATAAATAAATAAATAAATAAATGACGTTTTTATAATTTTTTTTTTAATCTTGTGCAGTTATTACTTGAATAATTTTTCTACCGAAGAATTTTTACTTTTTTTTTTATTCCAATTCTTCATCTTCATATTCGAGAATTTCATTCGTGTCAAAATCTTCTCGTACTTCATGATACCCGCCTGTCTCAGCAATTCGAACATTTTGAACATACTGAACATTCTGAACATCCTGCAAATTCTGAGCAACTCCAACATCCTCAACAACTTCAACATCCTTAACAATTTCAACATCCTCAATAGTTTCAACATCATCAACAATTTCAGTATCCTCAATAATTTCACCAGTTTCCAGTTTTTTTTCGAACTTTTTTGAGATACCTTTTTTTAAACCATCGAAGAAACTATGAACATTCTGAGCCACTTCAATATCCTCAACATTTTCGCTTGGTTCACGCTTTTTTTCAAATTTTTTTGAGATACTTTTTTTGACACCGTTGAAGAAACTTTGAACATTCTGAACATTCTGGGCGTTTCGAACATCCTCAACACTCTGAGCAACTTCAACATCCTCAACAATTTCAATAGTCTCACGTTTTTTTTGGAACTTTTTTGAGATACTCCTTTTGAAACCGCCAAAGAAACCTTGAACATTCTGAACATTCTGAACATTCTTAACATTCTGAACAATCTGAGCAACTTCAACATCATCGACATTTTCACTAGTTTCACGTTCTCCTAACTTTTTTGAGATACCTTTTTTGAAACCATTGAAGAAACCATGGTCCCCAGAATCTTCATATATTATGTAATATATAATCCTTTCAACCGAAAGTAGAGTTATTCCAAAAACAAATTTTGTGACATATGTTGAAATTGGAAAGCAGATACAGAACCAAAGACTTTGATAAATAAGCAAAAATGCAAGACTAAGTAGACGCAATATTTGACTAATACGATTATTAATTTCATAAGCAACGGCAAAGTAACTGATAAGAAAAAGTGGAATGACGGTTAAAAATATCATCAAAATAAGCAACAAATTATGATATCTTATATCAATTATTCCATATGCTGTCCACCAAGTGATATCATAAAAAAGAATAACAAAAGCACCAATCAACAGGTTGAGCCCTTTTGTGATATTTCTTGTGAACTGTTGTAATTCAAAAAAATTGACCATCTTATTTCGAAACAAACTAAACATTATCCAATAAGCAATTGCCAAGCATAAAGCAAAACTGAACATTCCAATAAGTGCTTCGGTATTCAATCTCGGATTACTTGTTTTAATAATAATCAGTGGTAGAACAGAAAGGCAGAAAAAAAAGATTAAATCATCTAAATAATAAATGATTTTACCAAACCAAGGTTTCTTTTCAGGACCGTACACTAACAGAATAATCAAAGGGAGGATGATGTAAAAGACGAAGTTACTGAAGTCAATCCAGAGTGCTGTATCACTATAACCATTTTCGTAATCATAATCATAATAAGGATGCGCATGGGCAAAAGAAAAATATGATATGAATAATAAAATAATAAAAAAAAATGGATAATTGACGTAGGTTGAGTCAGTTGAAAATCTTCTTCTTTTCAATGAGCTTATGAGAAAGATAAAAATAATCATGTACGAAGAATCGATAAAAATTGTTCTCGACATGATGGGCGCCAAGAAAATGGATTCAAGAGCTTTATTATATTAATAATCGTTATCAAAAAAATGAAAAATCCAAAGTTCTTCAAAAATTTACAATAAAAAAGTAAATTTTCACGGATGTTTATTTCATTAATACCGACCAAAATCTCTTATTTTGTTTGAAGATAAATAAAAAATTCTAGATTTTTTCATTTATAGCATTATAATAATGTATTTTTATTACAAAAAAGGGAAAAAATTAATTTAATCAATCTCGTGATCCTTCGACATGAGATGGGATTGATAAAAAAAATATCGAGTACTATATTAGGAAAATTTAGGAATTGTTTATGTAACGTTTCTCTCTTTATTCAATAAATAAATAACTGAAATTAGGGAAATTTTATTTGAAAAGGAATTGTGTACGTAGCACTACCCTCTTTACTAATAAATATATAAAAAAATCATTATCAAATACAATAAAGTTAGCTGATATTCAGCTTTAAAATACAGTAAAATTTCATGTGATTTGTAATAATAATTGTGCATTTGTAATTGATTTTTTGATTCCGGTTTTTTTTGTCCCACACTGTATACTGTGATAAATTTTATTGTTCTGACCTTCTATCAAATTTTGCAACTAAGTTAAACATGGTAAAATTTAATAATATTTATGTATAAAATAATGAAAGCAATATAAAAATAACTAACACTCCATAACTTCGATATGCTGCACGGTTTTCTCCCATTTCTTCTTCTAGATCAAAAGAAAGAATCATGTGAATGTATCGCAGGTGTAACAGAAAATTGGGAAATTTCGTTTCTTGCTACAAACATTCAAATATCAATATCTAAATATTATTTATATTATTTTTGATAGAAATGATGTAAAAGACAATAATTAACTCGGACTCCAGAGATAGTATTTATGAAATAAATCGTTAAATTAAGATTGTTAGGTCAAAATAAAAAAAGTTTAAAATTTATTATTATTTTTTTTTTATATAATAATAGCAAATCGATTTTTTATGCAAAAATGGATATACATATATATATACATGATAGCAGATGTTACGTATCACCGTTTTATACAATTCACTCTTTTTTTTTAGTCGCTGAATTTATACTTTATTATTCAACACTTATTTACTCATTTTACGTAAGATAGTACATATAATATACTGAAAAATTTTTAGATTGATAAAAAAAGATAGTATATTCTGTGTTCAATCATACGTTTGTAGTTGTGAGCAAGTTCATTAATTACCGATCCACCATTTGTCGATCATTTTAGCGATTAATTAAAAAAAGCACACTTCCATCCGTAAAAAAGCATCTTCGAATTAAATTACAATTTACTGTAATTTCGATGAAACTTTAGAAGATTAAATTAGATGATGACCATTATTATCTTCATCTCTTAGCTGCTGCACCTTCTATTTGATCTACATAAAAAAATATAAATTAGTCTCATTTCATGATTCGTGAAAAGGAAAGATCTACATTAATAAAATGTGGGAATATAGTAAAAATACGTGTAAGAAATAATTACAAAGTCATTTTATGGACTATAGTAAAAAAAAAAAAAAACTATATATCTTCATATTTTTTTATTTTTTATTTTTTTTTCAATTTTTTATTTTTTATTTTTTTATTTTTTATTTATTAATTGTTAATAATTAATAATTAATAATTATTATTTATTATTTATCATTTATTATTTTCTATTTATTATTTTTGATTTTTATTATTTTAGAAAATATATATCATGATTTATTAAAATGTTTATTAAAATAAAAATATATTTAATGAAAAATATTTGCGTTTTTGAAGTGAGAAATAGAATGGTGTGTTTATTTATTGTTATTTTATTATTTCTTCAAGATTCTTTTTTGTGGTTGTGAAATTTCTGATAAAAGAAGTGATGATTCTTCATGATGAGAGTAAGGATTGGTTTGTGTTTTTCAACTTTCTATTTTTATTATTTCACCAAGATTCTTTTTTGTGATGGTGAAATTTTTGACTAAAGAAAATATTAAATTATTATTATAATTTTTATTTCTAAAATTTTTGCTACAATGATTTTTAACTGCAAATATATCTTCTTTTGAAGAATAATACAATTTTGTGAGCATGAAATTTATTAATTGTATTAATGGCAACCATCTTTTAATTTTTTAAATTTTTTATTACTACAAAAAATTCGTTCAAGTTGATTCTTAAATACGAATTATTATTGATCTGACACTAAAACAGTTTTTCGTGACAGTTATTTCGATATCGGTGACTGATGACTAATTTGTTGTTCTTACGTAATCATTGAATCTTTCGTTAAAAATATTTTTATATCAGTTCAAAAATTTAAAATCATTATCATTTATTACTTCTAATCCATCTAATGTCAATAATATTTTTGCTGTGATAAAGGGTGGATTAATTGAGAAATATAATTATCAAAGAGTATGTGAAATACGAATATTTTCTTTATGTCGTTAAATAATTATAGTTCGTATAACTATGTTATTTCGACTTCGATACCTATTGTTATTATCAAGAATCAATTCATTTTGTAATGAATCATTTAATGTTTCTTTTCGAAGTTAATAAAACTTTGGAAAATGTTTCATCATCCTAACCATCCAAATAATTCAATTAAGTTTTGCATATTTTTCTCTTTTCTAAAAACTATTTTAATATGAAGACAAATATATGAACATGAATAATATAACCTAATGAATAATTAATTAATTACGTGATATGTGAATCATTATACACGAGAAATGTATTTCTTGCCCTTCAAATAATTTAAGATAACATTTACACAGATTTCCGTAGTAGCCACTGAACTTGGATGAGTAAGCATAAATAAAACAATAAGTTTTGGATTACAAGAATTTTTGTTTAAATAATAATGATGCGAATTGAATTTCTTCGAATTGTCGTCGTTAAAAATCAATGTTGAAAATGATTATAATAAATTTATAATGTCACGATTTACATAATTGTAACTGGACTTTGTGAGGCATTATCAATTTTTCGCTAAAATGGGTTAAATTTTTAGGTGTCGGTTTTATTAAACTAAAATTTTTTTAAAAAATATCTTTTAATTACAAATGTTTTTTTTTTGATTTCATAACTTAATAAATTAATAAAGTTTTAATTTAAAAATAATTATTATGTGCACGTTTATCTACCAGTTATTTTGAAACACAAATTCTTTACCGCGTGATGAAGGATAAATAAGTGATTCTTTTTTTTTCTAAATTCTTGGTTTTTTAAAAATTGTGATTTGACCTAATAAAAATTTAGAATTATTACTATCATTATAAATTGCTTAAATAGAATAAATTAAATAAATCGCGTAAATTGTATTTTTATTATATACAATCTTCTAAATTAGATCATTTCTTATTAAATCAGCTAGTTTCGACATCATACCTTATTTTGAGCGGGATACTGTAGAGGATAATGTTTCTTTTCATTTATATTCTTTCTTTAGTATCGAAATGATTTTTTTTAATAATATCATCATCTCATCATTACTATTATCAATATAATCGAGTAAGATCATAATAAATCCGAAAATGAAAATAATATTAATTCCATTGTTGTTTTTGTTGATCAAACACGTAATCTGACTTCCCCGCTTTATCTATATTTGGATCAATAAAATCAATGATAAATAATGCGCATTTTTCTCGAAATTCATTATCCTCCGATTTTTCATACAAATTGCTAATAGAGGTCTTCATCGCTATCCTATTTCCACGAATAGTACTTGATAGGACATACAAAAGGAGTGTTAAAACTTTGATATAATTTCATTCTTGGGAGAGAGAAAATTTGAAAGATAAAGAATGAGATTTTTAGTGCATAACTTTGAGCCAATGGATTGTTACATAAATAAATATGATGGGCGGGGGCATGACCATCAGTTGTTTTAGGTAACACTAGGGCAACGATGGGTCGGGCCGTTGTGTTATTAATTTAGCCATAGCCAGTTGTATTAAATGTATTTGTAGTTTTTATAAATTTGTTTAATTTTTATCCTCTGCAAAATAAATTGTTTAATAAAACATGACTCCGCTGGAATTAAAAAAAAAAAAACATAAATAAATATGATTAATAAAAAATAAATGAAAATTAACAATAAAATAAAAAAAAAATAAAAATAAAAAATAAAATAATAAATGTAATCATTAAATTACGTAAATTCTATAAATTAAGTAATAATAATAAATAAGATAAATATGATAATAAATAATCATTACTTGCATCGCTGCATCAATAAAAAAAGCAGCTTTCTTCTTGATTTAGTGTTAATTATCTAAAGAGGAAAGAATGAAATTTATTACTTCATTTTAAAATCATGTTTCGAATGAAATTAAATTCATGAACTAATTCTGCCGATGGTTTATTTGTTAAAGATTGTTGATGATGAGAATGATTTGATTAATTGAGAAAATATATTATTGTCAAAAAGTAAATGATCTGATGTGAAAAACAATTATTTTCATTATGTCGTTGTGATGGCAGTAGTCAGGATTATGGTTTCTTTTAAATGACCAGTTTGATAAAGAATAATTAAAATTCTTATAATTATTTCCATTCCTATTCTCATTATTGTTATTATCAAGATTAAATGTATCACCTAATGAATCTTTTAATGATTCTTTTAGGGATTCTTTTCCCGTTTCGAAATCAACATTAATATGAAGATCTAATAAACGTGTAAGGTGAATTTGTAAGTATAATATGATATGATGAAATAAATAATCAAACAGAATAAAAATAGTAATAATAATAATATATATATATATATATGAAAAACGAGAGAAAATGTCGTCATACCTCGAGGTATTTCCTGTCCTTCATATATTTCTTATGCTCTTCATTTGCTTCGAATAATTAGGATAACAATTACCACCGCTGCAACAGATTTCTATGGCAGACACTGAACTTGGGTAAGCAGTGACAATACAAATTAATAAATGCATTAAATATAAATTAAGAAGTCACAAGTTTTGGTGCCATTGGATGTTTTCTTTTTTTTAAAAAAATCATAATAATGATTTGAATAATTCTTTAGATTGAATTCCTTTGAATTGTCGTCGTCGTCATAAATCAATTTTTTTCACATATAAAAATCACACGAGATCAGTATGGACCATAGTAAACTTGAACTTAGTTACCAGATCACGCATAAGGACAAAATTTCTATCTTGTCCTAAAAATATAATGTCCTAGGCTACTCTCCGGAAAAATTAAATATAAATTAATGAAACCATAGGTTTTGGATGCCATTGGATATTTTTTTTTTTGTTTAAATAATAGTGATTTGGATTATTTTTTCAATTGAATTCTTTTAATTGTCATCATTTTCATAGCTATGGAAAATGCTTTAAAATATTCGAAAGATTGTCATAAATTACTAGACACGTTCCAAAAAATTTCTGTACTGAAATTATAATATTTTATATTAACAAACAAATCATTTGACCAAAGAGATTGCGAGATCATGGAATCTAAGAATTTTTTATGACAGACTTACCAGAAACAGGATGACCTACGATAATGCGAATGAATTTTTTGGGTGAGTTTGATTATAAGCAGAAAATAAAAGAAGCACAAGATTAAGTAAGTATTCAGAATTATATGATTATAAAAGTGAAGATGAAAAGATTATCTTGACTACTTTTTTATACCCGCTTATCTCCATTAATTTATTTAACAAATCTGCAATTGCAGAAGCAGATTTAAAATAGCAGTTTGAACTGGCCAGTATATTTTGATTAATATATTATCATATCAAAAATAAGTTAATGATACCAATAATTAATGATAATTATAAGGAAACGTAACTTCATTATCTAGACTTTCGAAATGATTTCTTCCACAAAATTTCTTATTTTGATCAAATCAATGTACATGTGCAAAAAAGCAATAAATTAAACAAAATAAAAGATACTTACCTAAAACTAAAGAAACACAAATCAAGAAATCTACAACTAAAAAACTATTTATAAAAAGAAATAATAATAAATTAGTATTTCACGATAGCATACAAACAAACAAAGAAATCTTTATTTCTTACCTTAAAAAATCGTAACTAAAGAAAAATCATCTATTAAATGAAAGAATAATCAGTATTCATTAATGCATAGCATGAAAAAGAAACAAAATGAAATTTTACTTACCTAAAATCTAAATTAAAGTAATCTAAACTAAAGAAATCTATCTTAATAAAACCTAAACTAAAGAAATCTAATTAAAATTATTAAATAAACAGATTATAATTAGTAGACTTTTTCCTTCAATCGTGCACACATGTACATTAATTTGATCAAATTTTTCAATTATTCAATTCTATAAATGCAATATCATCGCCATCAGCAATAAATATCCAATAATTTTCCCAAAAATTATTAGATAATATTATAAAACAAAATATAATAAATACCAAAGAACTTTTTTGGAAGATGAAAGTATCATTTTGCCACCCTGCAAACTGTAAAAACAAAAAGAAATAATACTATCAAAGGAAATGATACAAAACAAAATTAATGATAAACAAAGTAGAGAATACCACACAAGCTTAGTTGAACAGTTTGTTTACGCGATAGAATATCTGTGCAAACTTTGTTGACAAGCTAAACAAATGAACAAATAGTAAGTATTGCACAATAGAATAAATAAAATAACTGCCAAAATATGACTTAAGTGGTAGATGAAGCAATAAATACCCGCAAAAATGACAATAACTGATAAATGAAACAGAGTAATGAAATATTTATAAAAAAAATATTAAAGAAGCATAATTTTGATTTTCAGCAAAAGTTTCTTTAAAAAATAAGTAAAACGAAAATGGTAAAGAAAAAAAAAGAAAGGGATTGAAAAAAAAGGATTAATGATGTTTATTTATAACAGATAAGAATATTTTTTATAGATAAACAAAAATTATTGGTTGAGCACAAAAATTACAGATACACAAGAATTACTTATCAATTACATCATATATTATTTCTTATACTTTATGATTTCCCTTCTCTGAAAAACATTTTGTTCATATGATTGATCGATTATTATGCAAACTTAAACCAAGACATTTATGAAACTGGACTAAGATGACAAGAAATTAATATTATATTTATTACAAAATTATATTTGACGGAATAAGTTTCAGATTTTACAAATACATTATTGTATCTCGATAAGTTTTAATAAATATTTAAATTTTGTTTAATAACTTAAAATGTCTGAACTTTTTGATAAATTATCCAAAGATTTTTCAGAAATTTTTAATGACAAAAAAAGATATAACGTTGTCGAAGTAGATCAAAAAACACGTCAAATATTTGAAATTTCTTAAATAAGTCAAAATATTAATTGTTACACTAAATTTTAAATTAATTATATTAGGCTTAATACTAATAAACCAGATATATTTTATAGATAAACCCGTTAATTCCCCGGTTAGAGCATTTCAATCATGAATTACCTTCGTGAATCATTATAACCCTGAATTTTTATTCTCAACTATAATCAACAAAGAGCATGCAGCAGAATTTTCATCTTTTATTGATCGAAGATCACCAACTTATTCTTTAACAAATATTCCTTATGAATTTCAATTAATTCTTCGAGAAATTAGAGATTTTTTCCATCCCAAAACATTTTGGAACATGTGCCATGGACATGCTGGCACAATTGTGGTTGTTAAGCTGACAGGAACTGATGGAATAGTTGTTGGTTATAATCCTTTAGCTTGGGATAATTCAATTAAAGAAGCTTTTATGGAAACAAATAATAGTTTCATTTTCTCATGAAAAAATAGAAATATTCAATATTCAATTCTCAGTCGAGTTATAGATGTTATCTTGATTCTAATGATCAGAATATTTATGGTCCGTGGTTTGGTAATGAATTTATGATGAAATCAAAGATCCCGATTTTACTCAAGATGAAGGATGTTTTTGTTATAGAAAATTTAAACTTATTATGAAAAGCTTATTAGAACAACTAATGAAAATTTTCTATTGTAGATTCTGCAGTACTTAGGATTATTAAAAAATCAATTACAAACTGCAATATAATCTCATCATTTTAATAGTTTATATAAATATTTTATTATTATACTTTTTATTTCAATGCAATGATCTATTTATTATATAAATAATTATTTAGTTAAATTGAAAATTAAACCGTGAATATCAATCATTATTGAACTGACAAGATCATCACACTAAAACCGTTTTCCAAATTTATCTCGATATTGTTGTCTTATTTGTTGTTCGCTATCACTTCAATCTTTAATTAAAAGTACTTTATATCAGTTTAAATATTTGAAACCATTTAAATTCAATAGAGAGATGCATAATCATAAAGAGTTATCGTATATGTTTCACTTGTTTCGCGAAACTTTTGATAAGAAATAATTCTTAATAATGACCAACCATATGTCATAAATTATTTAGATTACATTTTGTTCTATTTATTTTTGTAATAAAAATACTTTGATTTTTTATCGTGATCTCGAAAAACAAACTTGCCGTGCATTTAATCTGTTCAATTAATTTTATAATTGAAGCTTTTAAATCTTCCAATCCATCTACTGTATATCTAATTTCAATAAGATTTTTGTTGTGATGACGATTAGATTAATTGAGAAATAATTATAGAATAATATATGATCATGAGAATTATGAAATATTTTCCAAAGTTACTACAAAAAATTATTGAAAGATTCATTGCGTAATAAATTAAATATTGATAATAATAGGCATGGAAGTCGAATGAACATAAGTATAAAAATTATAATTGTTCATTACCAGTCAATTATTCAAAAGAAACCCACCACAACAACATAAAGAAAAGAAACGTATTTCACCCATCATTCAAGTTTTACAAATTTTTTCCCATTTCGAAATTTAAATAATCAAACACAATAAATAATTGATCATAATATGTGAAACATTATATGCAAGGAAATATACCTCGAGGTATTTCTTGTTCTTCAAATATTTAGGATAAAAATTGCAGATGTCAATGGCGGTACATTAATAAAACAAGAAGTTTTAGATTCCATTAATTTTTTAATTTCTTCAATAGAAAAAATATTCATATCGAAATGAAATTGGAATCTCAAAAATTAAGAATGAAAATAAACTTATGCAAGATATCAAAAAAATGATAATATTTGCTGTATTTGTTGGAAAGGAAAAAATGGTTGAGGTAAAATTTGTAAAAAATATTTTCAAATTTTAGTAGATGTCAAGATTGTAGAAGTTTAAACATTTCAAAAAATGTATGCTCGAATTGTAAGCTTATTGAAATTAACTATTTGTCATAATGGACCGGTGGTAATTATGAAGTTAACAGAATTATTCACATGTCTCAATTAGACCAAAATGCAAAGGAATGGGAAATTTGGAGATGGATAGATTTTTAGTAAATTTAAAAATATCAAATATTTAGCTAAAGGGGGTTTTGGTAGTATTTGGAAAGACAAATGCCAGAGGAATTATTTGGATTCTATAATTCAAATCAAGTTGCTTTGAATAAACTTAAGAATTCACAACAAATTAGTTCTGAATTTTTAAAAGAGGTAAATATATTAAATATATTAATTTTTCTAATGTATGGAATATATAATTTTAACTTTATAACTTTATAAGTTAGTTAATAGTAAATTTTCATTGTCGAGATGAGTATTTTTTACTAATTATGGGTATAACACAAGATCTGGAGACAAAAGAATATGCAATAGTTTTACGCTATATGAAAGATGGAAATTCGAAAACTTTCTTCAGCAAAATAAGATATGGTTATTGAATTCTTTTATTAGAGGTCTAAAAACAATTCACAGTAAAGGATTTATTAATCGTGATCTTCATCCTGTCAACCTTATGATAACTGAAGCACATAATAATTCAAAATTCATAAGATTGGGAGATTTAGGATTATGCGGACCAGAAAATGAAATATTATCATCTGGAACATATGGAGTATTACCATATATTGCACCAGAAGTCATGGATAAGAAACAATATACACAATCATCAGATATTTATAGTGTTGGAATTATTGTGTGGGTAATGTCAACAAGATAAATACCATTTGAAGGAGAATTATATGATCCAGAACTACTGTAGCTGTAGCTATTTTCAATGGACATCGTCCAAAAATTAATAAAGGAACACCTCATTGTTATGTTGAATGGATGGAAAAATGTTGGCACAATAATCCATCTGAACGACCAAGTGCTGAAATGATTTTTGATATATCAGACAAATGGGTTGGAGATTTAGTTTATGATATAAAATCAGATTATGCGCTTATGTTTTTAAATTCGGATCAAGAAATACAAAATATAAGTTCTGAATCATTACACAATGAAACTATTTATTCTGAAACACATCTTATAAGCAAATCTTTAATCCAACAAGTTTAGTAATTCATAAATCAAAATTTGATATAAATAAATATATAGGTAAGATCAATTTAGATGATCAATAAATTAAATGTAAAGTTTTAAAACCTCAAATTTTTGCAATTTTTATTTTATGTATAATATAAATAACTATATTATGTAAAACTAAATGTATTAGTAAATCCAATAATTACAAAAATTAATATCATTGATTGTTCACTATTTGTTTCAAATATTAGAGTTTCAAAATTGAAAAAATTTCAAAGTATTTATGAAATTTTTTTCATGTAAATAAATTTTTAATTTATTTAACAAAACAAATATCAAGTATTACTA